CTGCCCTGCCAGCGAGAAGCTGGGAGGGGGCACAGCCAGGACAGCTGACCCAAACTGGCCAAAGGGCTATTCCATACCATGTGACGTCATGCTCAGTATGTAAACTTGGGGGAGTTAGCCAGGGGGCAGTGACCACTGCTCAGGAACTGGCTGGGCATCTGTCGGCGGGTGGTGAGCAACTGCATTGTGCATCATTTATTTTGTATATTCTTTTATCATCATTATTATTATTATTATTTTCCCTTCCTTTTCAGTCCTATTAAACTGTCTTTATCTCAACCCACAAATTTTACTTTTTTTCCCTGATTCTCTCCCTCATCCTACTGGGGGGCTGAGTGAGCCAACGGCTGTGTGGTGTTTAGCTGCCTGCTGGGTTAAACCACAACAAAGTAACAAATACACAGAATCAGAATTTAAAGTAGGAGAATGCTTTAGTGAAATATATATGTTGCAAGCAAAGAGAGTTTTTCAACTGGCAACCATTTCTTAAAATGATTAGACACTTTACTGAAATGAGCTGACATTAACAAGAACTTGGAAGTCCTGCAAACTCCGCGTGTTACAGCCTTAGTTTTTCCATACAGGCAAACTTGACAGGTAGCTTTCAGAAGACAGTGGGAGGAAACACAGAATAGTAAAACTGAAACAACTTCTTGAAAAATTCCATTTTATGGTCTACTGTTATACTGTATATTTATTGTCACAACATTGTGTATTCTGAATATTAATTCTGATATTTAAAGATAGAGAACAGTTTATTTCTTGGGAAGCAAACTGCAAAATATCAGAATGCTGTGAGGTTTTTCCACAAGCAAACAAACAAACAAAAACACAGAAAGCCCCCAACAAACTCAAGACTCCATATTTGTTTCCTTCCTCAAAAGTGACCTGTATCACTTGAACATCATCCACTTTAAATACCCACTGCAGCTTATTTTGTGTGTCATCAGAAAATGAATTCCCAAGAAATCAACACATTTGGGAAGGGAGTGAAAAGAAAACTCTACAGACACAAAACTCTCCAGAGATACAGGTCATTCACTGCCTGTGATTCTTAATTGCATTAGGAACCATTCAGCAAAACCTGTTTGATTGATTAATTTATGGCCCTGGTTCAAAAACCAGCAGGACAAGAGTAGCTTGCTGATACCGAAGCTCTGTAACTACATTCAACATTCCCTACAGGGTTGAAATTGAATGATTCATTTCTTGCTAAACGGCTAATAGTCAAACACCCTCTAGACTTCTTGATCTTCTGTCAAAAGGTCTATTTTATTCAAAAGATTTATGACAGTGTATCTAGTAAAGCATAGCTCAGGTTACAGAGAGAGAACAAGACAGAAAAATACCACAGCACATGCACATCTCTACAGGGCAAGATGGAAAAAGTGTCACCTAGTTCTTTGCGGAAAAATTCATGAATACACAGAAGAAATATTTTATGTACTTCTTCAGCAGGATGCAAATTTTAAGCCTTAAAGTCTTTTAGAAGGTCAGATACTTCTAAATTTTTCTTAACCATTTTTCATCTTTAAGCAGCTTACACCATGGTACTGCAACTCATTCATAAGCACTGGTTGGTGATTAAAGAACTTCTCAGGAATGTGTACAGATTTGAAAGGGATAAACATTTACGATACTACCTGCTATTAGTCTTTGATACCACTAACCAAAAGGATTAGTTTGTTCTGTCAATGGTCACTGACATAATACAATCATTTTTCAAGGAACTGTAGGTGGCTGTACTCTCCATTCTGCTGAACACATGGTGAAGGGCAAAAACAGCTATTAGCCCCCTGTTCCCAGTACCCTCTTCACTACGCAGCGCTTCCTCCTGCCTGAAAACATGTAAAAAACGTTTTTTCTCTTGGAAAAAAATTAAGCCAATACAGTTGAGTTAGAACTGAATATAACTTTCAAGATAACCAGTCATCGACTTCAGTGAAAGATAGGAGTCATCACTGTAAACATTTTTAAAATATGCATGATGGTCTCCATCAGGAAATTTACTACATGATCATACTATGAAAAGTTAAGGGGGAAAAATGCTAATTATGAAGAGCAGTTTAGGCACGTAATTGTGGTAACACAAAAACTGAGTGGTGAATGTCACAACTATCATTGGCAATTAATACAGTTCAAGTTAACTCAAATGCCATCTGCAAACTGACTCTTTCAATCTGTCTCATACTCTATAGTCATTCAATAGCTGAATGGCAACAGCCATTCTGCCAACACCTTTTTCATTTAAACACTAAGAAAAAAATATTCAGAAACTTCAATGCAATTTGTGTGCCAGCTTCCATTTTCAAAAAGGATTTTAGGCAGTTATGTGTCATTCCACAGACACATAAATGTAAAATCTTGGTAACATTTCCCCAAGCTGTCCTTCACATGAAAGTCTGTATTCCTGCCCATAAAGTTCCCAAGTTCTACACATTCCCCCTCCTGCACACAGGCATCATCACTTAAGCCCAGATGCTACTGAATAATTTGGCAAATAAGCCTTCTTGCAATTCTCAAAGTCCACTGGCTGTGGCTCTTGCAATATCTAATTGGAAAGGAATTCTTTTTATACATCTACCTGTCAGAGTAGATCTTAAAATAAAACAAGTGCGGTGGCTACTCTGTGCCACTTCCTTTATGTCCAAAAATCAATTTCGCAAAGTTTCCCAACTTCTGCATTATAGGGTCACTACCATCTTCTTTTATCTCATGAACTTAGCATTTTATACACAGTAACAATTCCAAACATAAGAGTTTAAGGCTCAGAAACTAAGATTACCATGTGAACAAGGGGATCATAAATGTCATCTGAAAATTTATGGATATATCAATTCTGATATAATCACACAGAGGAGAATCTGAACTAGGGATCCAACATTCAAAGTAAATGCTTTTAACTGCTGGGCTGCTGAATCTTATCTAATAAAGTGCCAGCTGCTAGAGAGCACCTTCCACTAAATTTAACCACCTCCCAGGAACAAAGTACTCTCTCACCATTCCCTGCTCCCTGCTCACCTTGCCAACTTCTGATGAAGCCTATTCAGAAGAATTAGACATCTGTACCTCCTAGACTGATGCTGTGAATTTTAGGATGCAGCAAGTACATCAGTGATAGAAACAAAAATGTTGATCTAAGCTCTCTTTCCTGGTTTAAGTGGGTAGGGCTCCTTCTATGTAGAATTTTGTAATAAATGATTATAAAATTGCATCAGCCTTATGAAAAGAATGTTTTAGATAGTACACTGAACACAGTCATAACTTAACCTAGCACAAATTTTAGCTTCACGTTATACATAGATATATACACACACAAATATACATATATAAATACCTGAGGTATATCAGAAAATTTGAACTATTAGTGAACATCATATAAGACTCCTTTCCTTCAAACAAAACAAACATTTCCACACTTAGAGCATACAAAACTTTACCTGATCAGCTGTTGTGACATCAGAAATTACAGCATCAGGGGGTCTCTCGGGTGGATTCACTGTTACCTAAAGCAAAAGCAGTAGTATTAGTATTGCACTGCAAAAATCTTTTATCCATACCCATGCCAGAATATGTCAGGTATGTATAAAAAGAAACAGCATTTACTAAGCTGTTAAGGTTCCTCCTATTCTTTCTACATGTACAGACAAATAGAAAAAGATGTTTAGGCCAGAAAGTCTCTTAGCTTTACAAAGAGAGCAATCCTGAGGCAACAGATCTGGCTAACAGTTACATGTTATAGCTGAGCAGTTTGATTATGTTTCTTCCAAACTATCCAAAAAAGTTCAAGCAAGAATTATTCACTCAGAAAAAATAGTTGTCTCATAGAACATTAATGTTTTGGAACACAGAAACGAAAACGAAGCTTTTAAAATACTACTTTAAAAAGCGCAATGGAGTACAAAATGATTTATTACCTCACTCATGGACTACATCACTTTTGGCCTTGAAGAGCTTCCAGCTCTGTTTTTGTTTTGCACTTTTTTCTTTTGTTTTTGCCATGACATGCTGCATATTAAGCCCCACATTATTCTAAAAAAGCTGTTCCTTGTGCAATCTACAGCTTCATTGTTCAGTTTTGAAGATATAAACTTTACCAACAGACTGACAGAGAACATCCTAGGTCATGATAAACACAAAGAACACCATAACCAATTTAAAACTACTGAAGTACCTAAAATCTTTTTTCCCCTCTCCTTGGGTTTTCAAAACAAACAAAAAAAAGACCAAGCAAAGAGAAACTGGTATAAGCTCTAAAATGAAAGGAAGCAACTTGACTCTCACCTGTAGTAATTCTAATTAATCTTAGCTTGTGTAAGCTCTTTACCAAAGAAAAGAGAAATCAAAAGACACTGAGCGCTGTGTAGTTTCACATCTAATAGCAGCAAAGGCTCTTTCCTGTTTATTAACAGCAGAGCAAAGCCACCTCTTGGATGGAAGACTTGATATCATCACTCCTGCTTTTGTCACTTCAGAGAACAACAGACCTACACATTAATCAGCCTGATAACAAGGACACTACCTCACATGCTTTCAAAACAAGAATGGCTTGCCAATCTATTTCCAGTTGGTTTAAAGAAACTCAACCTGACCTACCAAGCTATTAAGACTTTAAAACTAGCCAACATATGAATAATTAAGGAAACCCCTCTGCCAGTAGGGCAAGAAAACCCCAACTCAAGAGGAGAGACATGACTAACGCAACATGTAGCTCATCATAGACCTCAACTTGGAAATTTTTTCTCCTTAGTTTGCAGATACAAAGATGTGTAAAGTGACAAAAAGACACATTATAAAATATATCTCATCAGCTTGAGATTTCTTTTTGGCACAGAGGGACATGAAAGTCTCTTTAATTGGGAAGGTATGCAAGACAAAGCAGGAAAATTTATCATTTGAAACTGGCCTCTTGCATGCAAAGGCCTCTGTTGAATTTGCTACCACTGTGTTGTCTTAAGTAGACTACATTTTGTTTTCTTCTATCACAAGAAGGACTGCTGCCTGCAACAGGTATTCTTTATATTTTAAGACATAAAATCATTTATATGGCATTCTATACTTCACTAGAGCGAAGAAGTTGCAGTTGCCTAAAGTGCAATGTTTAACTGAAAAGTGCCAAAGCACTACACTGGACTCACTGATGCCACCACTATAGATTAGCAACATTGCCTTTGAACCACTATTTCTTTTACATGCACTATTATAAAATCTGATTACAGAAGAATTAAGGGTTCCATCAAAGACATTTTACACTGTCTGCAATAATATTCTGTGAATTTTTTACACTACACAGAGGCTTTTCCCATTTCTCTTTGAAGCAGCAGGCATTTCAAGATTTGATTTGTAAAGTTACATATGGGAAAATTTCTATAAAATTGGTACAGATTTAAGCCAAGAAACTTGTAAATTTACATCCAAAAATCCCAAAGAACATTACCTACAATATTACAGATGTACAAAACCTAGGTATTTCATTACAGATTTTCAAAAATACCGAGTTTAAAATAGCCTCTATTCAATTGACTGTTTATTACTGTAGTGCCTCAAGGCTCTAGTTCACAGTAACAACATTCGATCATAGCTGGCACTACCCTTAAACATAGTATTGAATAGTTCTATGTCAGGTAGCTGAATAGCTACTTCATGCATTTGGACATGCACACTATGTGTTCATGTGACATTGTTTGTCATTTGCTAACTCTCTCCCAAAATGCAAGAGTTCCACTCCACTGAAGTGAGAAACTATAATGCTACTTCTCTCTTTTCCCTTCTATGCTTTCCAAACCTCTTTCACACAAACACAGATTTATAAAGAGCTACACCTAGAGATCTCTTCTAGAAATTGCAAGTTCAAACCTAACACCACACATTTGAGTACTTCTCAGCTTTTTACTGTTAGACTTTTTACTAGAGCAACATCTTGCAATATTAATGTATGATCATGCCTATTAGCACAAATTTAACATATGAAAAACAAGTTACTAAACTAAACATGAACACTTTCTGTATACATACACATGAAATTATCACTAAGTATAAATTTATCTTTAAATATAAATAGCCCTCCCACCTCCTTAAACAGAAGCAAAGAAAATCTCTGAGGTGGAGCAGCAGAACACACTGTAATGCTAAACTGATGACCCACAGATCATGTATTCCCTATTAGAGATACAAGCACTGTGGCAGAAATTGAAATGTGATCGTGACAGCAGAGCTGAGACAGGTTTAAATCAGGCCTCTGTTATGAGTCTAGTTGACACAATCCAACAGCACAGTAGTAGGCCCCTAGACAAAGTGTCTAAAATCTCAACTTCATTGTCACTCTCCTTGCTGCCCACGCTCAAACAAGAGCGGCTAAAAAATCTTCCTTTAAAACTACATATAAGAGAGGTAAAGCTCCCCAAATCTACTTGAGAAAAACAAGACTTACAAATAAAAGCCACTTCTCTGTTCTTGTTCTGATCTAAGGGGTCTCTGAAAATTTTTCAGATCAAAAATAGATTGAGGAAATAAAACCTTTCCCAAGCTAGCTTTTAACAAGAAATTAGTAACTTTCCTCATGTGTCCATTTATGGAGAGCGTGACTGGGAGTAACTAAATACATAAAATCCAAGCACGTGAAGTTTCTTTTGTTTGCAAAGCTTACATTTGGGTTTCATAAAACCAAGAGTCAATAAGACTCTTGCCAAATTGGACAGTTGAACTGATAGCATCTTCCATCTGACCTACAGAAGCAGAATTTTAAGGAATTTAGCACAGCCCAAAGTACAACATGTAGCAGATTTTACCACTTCTATGGAATTAATTGGGTCAAAGTGGGTCAGATTACAGCCTGATTCCCGAGAATCTCCTATTCTGTTTTCCATTAGGATATTCCATATCTGTAATTTCAAATATTTGAATGTAGGAATATCTCATCAGTTGCATGTTTAGCAATTCATTTCTCTCCCTAATTGTCAAAACAAAAGCATTGATTTCCCAGGCCCTGAACAGTACCTTTTCACTCAGGCTCTTCAATGAACAGAAATATTTATATTCCAGTTGAGTTTGTACCGCCACACTGCTCAAATGCTAGTTTATCCTTCCTAGTTGATATAGCAAATATTTTTGTTGCAGTGCTAACAGAAGTTTTTATGTGGGTCTTTTTTAATATGAATATGCGTGAATTTACCTTGGCCTTTTCTGATACTCGTTTTCCACCAAATCCTCCAGCTCCAACGAAAAACAAAGAGAACTGATTATAACACACCAGGTCCTTTCCACAATAGGTATTCACTAAAAGACAACAAAAGAGAAAGGTCATATATTGTCTTCGATCTCATTTTTTATATAGCTAGCATGTGTTATTACCAGAGAAAAGTTCAGCTTCAAACGTGACAAAGCTAATTTTAACAACTGAAGGGACAATGGTCACACTTCCATGTTGCACTGTTGCAAGTCACTTCCTCACTAGTGAAGACTAATGATCTGTTTCAAATAACATTATCATTAATTTTATCTATATGAAAGCATTAAAATTAAAAAATGAGCTATCAAAATGCTGATGCTTTCAGCATCACGTTCAAGGTGCTAAAAATATTTAACAACAGAGTGCTGAAATTAATATTTATTTCAGCATCTCACACTGCATTATCAATTTATTTAAATATGATAGAATTGTGCCATAAAATACGAAGTATTAGACACTATTAACAATCCCTGCTGTGTAAAGCACATTACCAACTCATACAAAAAGCAGTACTAGTACCTTGTACAAAAAGAGCTCCGGAGCAAGCTTTAGTTTAAGGTCACCTGTTCTCTCTTTTGAAGAAGTTAAACTTGTTACACTGAATTGAGATTCAGCTTCCTATTTCCAGTTCATGCCTATTTGACCCCCTTACACCTTAGACTGAAATTTACAGTATTATTACTAATGTTCATTTCCAGTTCCAGAAGAAATTTAAAAACCACTAAGACTCTGCTCACAAAAAGAACTTTTGCGTGTTGCAGAAACAGACAGGTTTAATGTTAGCCCAGTATGGAAGCAAAACACAGCTAGGAGGAACAAAGGGACACTAAAGACCTTCTTACAATTTTATCTGTACACTGAAGGAATAAAAGCTCAAGAGTGTTTACAGATTCACTGCCTATTAAGCTACTCTTGCAGCCTAATTTCCCAAGGGACCTTCGTATAACAATTCCTAAAGATACTAAAATTCTGAAAATGACAACTTATCAACTTCCAGGGACATTCTGATCCTTTAACTTGGATACAAGAGGAAGGAAATGGGGTTTTGTTTTGTTTAGAAAAGAACAATGTAGACATAAGAAAAGAACACAGGACATGCTCTTAAAGATGGCTGCTTTGCAGAGGAGTCTACACAACATGCACATATGACTAACCTTTGCAAAACCACCCCACAAAACACACGCACACATGCGTGTACACACACCCCCTTGCTGAAGGGTGGCAGAATCTAAAATGGCTGCCTTCAGAGAAGACTAAGTATTACTATTAAAGAACTTTGTTCAGTTTGCATAGTGCACTATTCCAGCAACACAGGAAAAAACCAAACCTTCTCTGAAATCTTTTTCCAAAGACAGTGTTCTAATTTCAGTACATTAATTGCCCAAGAAGAATTACATTATACATTTACACAGCTATTGCTAATTAGCTCATTTCTCAGCTCTCATTGAGATTTAATAAGCTAATAGTCTTTACTGTGGAAAGGCTGGCAGTTATTGGTACAGCTAGTTAAAAACTGAGCCTGTCAAATTTTACTACATCCCCTCCAAAAATTATGAACTTTCTTACCATCTATAAGCAAGACTGCTCCTGATCCTTTGTCGAGAATATCAGCAACGGTTGAAACGGAAGTCAATTGCCCTGTAAGAAAAGAAGAACACGTACATGTTGTAAGGTTTTGCTTCAGTAATTAAGTCCACAGATCACTCTTTACAATTTCTTACTAACAATAATGGTAATAATGATCATAGTAATAGTCACAGTAATCACAACCATCATGATTACAATAAAAGTGTCTGGGAATCTTTGCAAATCTTGGTTTGCAGATGTGAGGAATTTTTTTTAAGTTTTGCGGTTTTTTAAAATAGAATTTTGCTATAGTTTATGTATTCAGAGCTAAACACAAATCACATTTCAGACTCAAACACATTGCTAACTTCAAAGATAGCTCCAATCACTTAAGGATTGTCCACAAAAAGAGGGCTGAGACAACTACAGTTCTAGAGAAGAGAACCTCAGCTCAAGGCCTGGGCCTGTGGGTTTATGAAGTTTGTCTCTAAAGAGGTTATTGCTCTAGAGAGATATGTAACCATATATGTTTACGGAATCAGCCTATGGAATGAAAAAATAAAAAGCTTTATGAAGTCTTGGCAATCCACTATTAATTATCAGACTTCTCTGAAATTAATATAACTTTCACACATCTCCTTTTTGTTTCAACAAGAAATTATGCCATTTATCTGTGGCTTGCAAGATTATTTTTTTTCCTTCTACACTCTGGAAAAGTTAATTTTTAACAACTACTAATGAAGAATCCCAGGCACATGCATGCATATCCTGAATGAGTCTAAGGAGCACCTCTCAAGTATTGTAATCTGGGAAAACACAGCCATCTGTGAAAAGAGCTTGCTACTGCAGTAACTAGTATCTTGATAATTTTGACAGGACAGTTTTTTAGCCTCCTCATAGAAATGTCCACTCCTCCTTTACATACATAGTTTAAATCTGATCTTCTTATAGACACACAGATGCAACCATTGTTGAAGAATTTTTAGGTAAACATCCCAAAGTTCTACGATACAACCTTACAGAAAGAATTAAAAGCTCTGCTAATTAGTATCAAATTATATGAGTAATACACCAGCATTTAATGTATTTGCTTATTATATCAAAGATTAGGCATCAGTTCACTAAGTATACTATAGAAAAGCAACACCTGATCCCAAGAACACAGAGTTTCAGAATTCCTTCAATAACACAACAGGTTGCCTCTCTTCTCCCCCACCCCTTGTAAAAAGAATATGCAAAAAATCCAGTTGGAAACAGAGCTTCCCTATTTCCATTTATAATATGGCTACAGGAACTGTTGTCATAGTGAAAAGCAAATCAGCAACACAAAAGGACTGACCTGAGGTTGGTAATGGTTTATACAGTTCCAGATATTGCTCACCATGCAGCATCTATGTAAGGCAGCACTGCGCTATAACAACAATCACTATATTCTATTGCTTCCCCCATCACAATTGCAAGGAAATATACAGTTATTTTACAAAGTGTTCAGAACAAATACAATAAAATAAAATAAAAACTGCAAGTTTTTTGTTTTGGTTTTCTAATTTAATCCCGAACAGAAAATATTCTCAAAGAAAGTTTTAAACTTTTGTGGTTTAATAAAAGCACAGTGAATACAAATTAAAATTTAAGAAAAAATTAATGATTCATACCATCTTAAGAAGACACAGATTATACAAGTGAACTAAATGAATAATTTCTTAGGATGTAAGAATACAAAACACTGAATTTTCCTTTTCTAGAATAAAGGGAACTTATTAATATTACAAACATACTAATTAGAGTCACCCTATAGTTACATAAATCACAAACAAAATCAGATACTTAACTCTTCCATACCTTTGTGAGATCAATATTTAGTCCTGGAAGAGAAGGAACACCATCAAACATTGAAGTCTGAGCAGGAATTACTCCAAAGCTAGGTAAACAGCAGAAGTCTTCACTTCCTTCAAAGAGAAATTTTAGGTGATCTGGATCCTTAGTTGACATTCCCACACCAAGGGCATATAGAATAGGCTCTAAGTGAGTATATTCATACACGTTGGTAGCCAATTCCCGGCCAACAATGCTTGCCTGGAAATTAAAAGTCAGTATAAAATAAAACTTCGTAATAGACAATATTGCACTTGCATTCTTTCTATAATTCTCGTATCAAAAAAAATTCACATTTGAGCATTTTCTTTAGACATTCCCACACCAAGGGCATATAGAATAGGCTCTAAGTGAGTATATTCATACACGTTGGTAGCCAATTCCCGGCCAACAATGCTTGCCTGGAAATTAAAAGTCAGTATAAAATAAAACTTCGTAATAGACAATATTGCACTTGCATTCTTTCTATAATTCTCGTATCAAAAAAAATTCACATTTCAGCATTTTCTTTAGAGTCACATATAAACATAAAGTATGAGTAATAAATATACCATAAAATATTAATGTATTTGTTGCAGTACAAACAACCCTAATGTAATGTGTTATATCTTGCTGCAAGCAATTTACTTCAAGAATAAGTAGTGTAACTTCATACAGCTCCACTCTGAGCAATGCTTAAGAATTTTTCTACAACAAAGCACAAATGAAATAATTTTCACTGTAATAAGATTGAAACAAGGAGAAATTATCTATAGAGAAGGAGCCAGAGCAAAACCACATTGCCCAACAAGACCCATCCCCTGGCCCTTTTCTGAACAATACCCTAACTAAAGAGGCTTGCAGAATTTACAAGCACTTGCATTCTGCTTTGTTCATCCTTTATTCAGTCCATTTAGCCTTAAGTTTTCCCATCATCAATAAGAAAAATAAAAAGTGGAGTCCGACGATGTTTCTTACTCTGCTTCCTCACTTCACAGTTTAAAATCCACCTTTCATCTTGCAGACAGCAAGCCAGAGTAGAAGCTGATCAGCAACACAAGTCTCTGCTAAAGGTTTTCACCTAACTTTGAGTGTATCTGGTAGACAGAGGTACTTACTGTGTCAACAAATGAAGAGACCATTGATCCAGAGCTTGTTGAATTCATAGAAACATTCCCTTGAGACTCTATCTGACTTAGAGCATCATTCAATACACTTATGGACTCTAGACAAAGGAATTGGAAAAAATCACTTATAAATAGCCATAAATGAGACACTCTAATTAGACACACAACAAACACGCCAGCAAATGAGATATAGCCTGGTACTTCTCAATTCATTTTTAAACACAATAAATACACATCTGCAAATTGAGCATAGTGCTGTATTTTACAGGCATCTACACAACAGTTGATGATAAGTGATCTCTACACCAGCTCCATCAGTTCTACACCCAGAAGTCAACCGTGACACCTATCTAATTCAAGTGCCTGAAACACAACTGGTGCTATATGCCACCATTCAAGCCAAGCAGAATACGTCAGTAAATACTTTGTTTTATTCCCTGAACCACAGTGTTAAGGAGAAGATAATGAGCGTTACGTTTCAGAATGTCTCAGAAGTAAACACCCGAAAATTAGTACTCCTTTTCTTATCTTGAAAATTATTTGCAATACAAGTAACAGGTCTCATCTCCTGGTGGTTACCCTCTTTCACAAGTCACATAAATAAATAAATAGATTGATCACTAAGTTTGAGGCTTGAACAATGCCAAGATTATAAGCGAGATGATGCACGGCTGAGATACAGAACAAGAGATACAGATCAAGAACAGCTTGTTCCTTGAAGCTCGATATGGCTAAAATCGATATGAAACATTTGTGTGTTAGAAAGAATCAAACAAAAATTGGTGAGAATCATGCACAGAAAAATAAAAAAGTGTTTATATCAGAGGAGCGCAAAATCATTATTTAACTACCTTTACCTTGGAACCACTCCCCTCCACTTCAAAACCCCTGCACCCATACCGACTTGCACTGTTGCTCGGACTAACACTGTGTTGCTCTGTTGCACAGCACTCCCCTAAATATCCTGCAAGTTAGCTGCATACCCTCTTGCAGAATCTTGATTTCCTAAACTATTTCTTCCTTCCCATTCTCACTGCCAGAATCATCATAATGTTTTATTCGTGGCCTGAATCTCATGAAGAAAAAGGAACAGCTACGAAATAAACATATGTTGTCACCTCTCCTGCCAAAGCCAAGCTTTATCTTTGGGTACAAGCACTGTCATAACATGACACGAGGTTATGTAATTTACGAAATGTGAAAATGTGCAAAACGAGATTTGTAATTTATAAGAACCCTTTAAAACATAATCCTTTTTATCCTTTTTTTTTTTTTTCATTAAATGAATGAAGGAAAAGCAATACTGAGCTGCTGGGAGAAGTAACAGACTGTTTCTACCTTTCTTGCATGAACCAAAGAAAGGCTTTCACATGGCTTTAAAATCTTCAAGGGAAAATACAGCCTTGACCTCCAAGTAAACCTGAATGTTTCCTCAACTTTTCATGTCCACAACCCATTTCCATGCAGGAACATAACTATCATTCTTAATGGTGAAATCTGAAGATTACCATCATGCATTTTACATGCAATGACATCATTAAGACAAACGGTATAAAGGCAACCTGTAATTTAATAATGGTGCAGAATACTACAATCTCCTTTTCAAGGAGTCTGTCCTTCTTCCAGAATATATGATATGACTGACTCTCAAATTGGTGAGCTGGCTAGTGTCTGGCTGAACACTAAGGAGATCATAGGAATCATAGAATGGTTTGGGTTGGAAGGGACCTCTAAAGGTCATCTAGTCCAACCCCCCTGCCATGGGCAGGGACATCTGCAACTAGACCAGGTTGCTCAGAGCCCCGTCCAACCTGACCTTGAATGTTCCCAGGGATGGGGCATCCACCACCTCTC